GTGGCAAGAAAGTGGAGGCCATCAGCTGAGAACACTGAAAGCGTTTCTGTGAAGATATCCCTAAGAGCACTGCCTCGGCATGACAACAGACTTACAAAGAAAAAAAAGTGACACTAAAAGTATATGAAGCACTGTGTAGAAGCTATTACACAGAGAATTTATTGAGTTTCAAGCAGAATGAATGATCAGAAATCGACTTCATGACATGGCTTGTCACAAATTTAAGCCTTAAGGGGAAAGAAAATTCCTAACCTGAAAAACTTGAAAGTAGAAGGAAAAAAAAAATCTGGGTTTTTTTCAATGGACAAATCTGACAAACTGCAGACATCGCCCACCAACAAAAAAGCACAGGCAACACCTCCAGAAACCCAAAGAAAACAAAATACCCAAGAACTCTGTTCACAACCACATTCTCATGAGTGAAGGCAACAGCAAGAAGGCTTGGAAAATCCGTGAGTCTTCGTCTTTTCTGCAGAAAAGTTTTCAAAAGATAACTCCTGAATTCAAAAAGCTAAATCCAAGAAAGGGTTGCTAATGGGGTGGGAGGAGCGGGGTGCCTGGAGCTACAAGATCTAGATGCCACCATCAGTGCAGAGCACAAAGTCTCCTCGCACCAAAGAAAGAAGGGTGGTTGTTTGTGAGATGAATTCAGTGCTTCTCAAAGTGGGGTCCCCAGATCACCTGGGAACCTGTTAGAAATGAAGGTTCTCAGGCTCTACCCTAGAACTACTGAATCACAATCCTGGGGGCAAGGTTCAGCGATTTGTTGTAAATAACAGAATCCCTCCAGGGGATTCTGAGGAACAGGCAAGTTTGAAAACCACTGTTCTAATTACTTGGTGCACCAGGAACCAAAGAGAACTACGACAAATCCCAAGAAATCAAAAATTTTTCAAAAGAGAAAGTTTAGAAAGCCAAGGAGAGAAATCTAATCCTTAGACTAATTAATTTTTTTTTAAAATAAAGAGGAAGAATGAAGGAGGATTAAAAGGCAATTAAATTTTTCACTTTCTATATAAAAGAATGAAAAAAATTGCTTTGAATTGGATGGGTAAGAAGAAGATGAATTTAAGTTTAGAAATTCTGGTGAAATATCACCAAGAATAGGATGTGTTCAACATCATAATTAAACATATAAAATGAAAGAGGCAAAATCAAAACATAAAAATCAGAATTTAAAAAGGCATATAAAAGTAAACTATCGGACACAAAGGGGAAAATGCAGGTATACAAGGCTATGAAAAGGAATAGCAGGAAGTTTCAGGAATGAAGTTCACTCTTGGACAGAAAGTTACCGTCTTTTACCCAGCTGTGTAGAGTTATATGGTATAATCTTAGCTGTTCATTTAAGCCACACTTTTTACAATTATTTATCTTATTTAAAAAAAAAAAAAAAACTACAGTAACATCAACAAAAAAGTAATCACTTAACGAATTCCCTAGTGTCCAGCCAGCCTGGGTGGAAGGAGTAGGGGCCATGGCCAGCACCTCTGCCCCCACCTGGTGGCCACGGACATGAATGACTGGCCTGGCCTGGCTCCTGGGGGATGGATGACCCTCCCTAAGCTGAACCTGCTCAAATCAAGCTGCCAGGGCTAAGGACACATTTGGACTTTTTTTTTTTTTTCTTTTTTTTTTTGGCGAATATCTTAATCATCCAAGACATGAGTCCCTAGCAGTGGCATTTCAAGCCATCAGCCGGAAGGAGAGCTATTTGAGAATAAAAAACAGGGGCTATGGAGGACTTTTCAAAGGGCAGCAAGAATACAGACACACAAGTGAGACTGACCAAGAGCATTCAGGGATTTCCAGGGTTGGGGAAGGGAAGTTTCGCAGGAGAAGAGAGCCAAGGTGAGGAGGATCTTGAATCCAGGCTGAATCTGAACTTTAATCTACAGGCACTGGGGAGCCATTAATTGTTTCTAAGCAGAAAGTGACTGCACCGCACCTGCTCTCTGCACTTACTGTATCTTGTTTAGGCCACGACACTGCCCCTTCTGGTGGCTAAAAAGGCTTCACAGGATTGCAGAGGAGCAGGAACAGAACAAAGTATGGAAAATATTGTCCTTGCATTTCACAATGACGTTTTCAGGGAACATATAAAAATGCCCATTGCAACTACTGCTCAAGCTTGCACAGAACAGGACAGCTTTCAAAGCAGCCATATCCCCATTTTATAGATGAAGAGAGTGAGAAAAGTGAAGCTTCCCCAGTAAGGGTGACACAGTAAGTCACTCTATGTTCCTACCTGAAAGTAATAAAATCTGATTCCTCTTAAAACTAGGGCAGCATTTACATGTGTCAGTCAGGTTGATTCCAACCAGCGAATCCTCTCAGTTCCGATGCAAAGACACAGGCTGGCCTTGCAATTGCCCTCATGGTGTGATTTGAGGGACAGAGTCAGAGAATAACTTCGCTGCTCCTCTCAAAAGCTAAGCATTGCCCACTCCCCAGGGATGGTCTTTTAAAATCCAAGTGTACCTGGGAGGAAAAGCATATTGCCTCCTATTAGATCACCATCCCTCTCGGCACAAGTGTCTCCTGGTCCAGACCAGGGGCCAGCTAACTACAGCCCAAGGGCCAAATCCCACCTACAGCTTGTTTGTGTAAATAAAGTTTTATTGGAACACAGTCATGTCCATTCGTTCACAGTTGTCTGTGGCAGCTTTTGCACTACAAGGGCAAAGGCTGAGTAGTGTTATAGAGAACTTATACTCCGCAAGCCTAAAATATTTACTGTTTGGCCTTTTACAGAAAAAGTTAGCCAACCTTTGATGCTTATAGGAGATGCAGATTTTTTTAAAGTGTGGGAAAGGGCTCAGAAAGGGGAGAGACAGAACCACAAGGCAAGCTTAGCCTACTTCTCCCCACATTACCAGGAGCAAAACTTAGCTCTCGAGTTACTCAGGCCTGGCACAAATCCTAGCTCTGCCACTTTGCACCTGTGTGTTCTTGGTCAAATCACCTAATCTCTCTTAACCTCGGTTTCTCCATCTGTGAAATGGGAATAATAAAAAGAACATCTGTACAGAATCATTGCCAAATTTAATTAGACTGTATACCAGGTACTCACCGTAGTTCTTATCATTCGATCACAGTAAACACTTAAAGCTTAGCTATTGTCATTCTTACTACAGTGATGTGTATGTGCTCAATAAATGTTACTTTTCTTACTAATAACAGAATTAGCACTGACACATGTGAAACAATGGGGAGCGGCTGTTCCCTGGGCTGGGATGCGTCTTGGAATCTGAGGCAGCCTGGGGCAGGGGTGGGGAGACATAGGACACAGGACTCATTGGCTGAGCTTCTGAAAGCTGCACCACCATGTGACAGTGTTTGTCCAGGGTGGCTCCTGGGCTAGATTGCATGGCCAAGAAGGTCAGCTTATACACAGATTTTTGTGCTGCCTCCAAAGACCCCACCATCCATGCAGCCTGCAGAGCTGATCTACCCTTCTTAGCCAGCTTGTAATTTTTTGATAGGTTTAAACAGACTGAAACAATGGGCCATCTCTGGGGAAGGCAAGGGGGATGCCTGGGCTTCAGGAAGTCAAAGGTGGTGTGAAACAATGTACAAGCATTAGATAAGAATGCTTTTGGCTTATTCCACATTACTTGGGGTCCTGTGACTATCTAATGTTGCTCTTCAGATTTCAGTGCCACCAGTTATTTGCGCTCACACACGAGCCTGGACATTCCAGCGGGGAGGAGCTGCTGACTCTCCACACTGTACAACCTGCCTCTCTCCTTTCTGCTCACCTGCATTCCCACTGGAAGTTCCAGGGCCACGCCACCCTCCTGGTTCTTGGACACCAAAATCCTCACCGTGTTGTCTTTTTTTAACACTCACCCACCCGCTGGGTAGCTGCTCATCAGGCACTGACTGAAAAGGTGAGTTAGAGTGACACTGCCTCAAGTTGAGTCCAGCAGGTCTGCAGCGGATACTGTGGTGGCTGCACCCAAGTCCCCCTTTAGGATGCAGGTGCTCATCCCCCAGCTGCCAGAGAGCCGACTGTGAGTGCTCACAGCTGAGCTTCTCTCAGGGCACCACCTTTGTCCAGGGCAGCCACACCCAATGACTATTCCATGCAGAGGGACATAGGCCACCCCTTTGCTTTAATCCAGGGTCATCCTGGACCCTTTTTTGAAGGGTCATCCCCACACCCAAACTCTCCATGAGACTGGCCTCAGGCC